GTGGCTGCCTGATTTGGGACTGTTTTATGATGTCTGTTTGGAAATGCAGCAAAATTAATACTGAAGGTTTAATTAAATAAGGAACTGTTGAGTAGTCCGTTATTTAATTCAGCCTTCAGTAAACTGGTAGCCTAATACTTTTGCAGTATCTTCCCAGGTGAAAAAAATATTAGTACACTAAATCCAAGTACACTTCAGTATACTTGAAGCCGCACTAATCATCAGTATACTTTAAGAGTGCTATTTTGGAACAACTAATTTAATACTAAATATACTTTAGTTGTATTTAAGTTGTACAAAAGCACAATTTTAAGTGTATTAAATATACTTTTAAATACTAAAATGGAACAGCTTAAAATATACTTAGTACACTTTAAGTGTATATCTTTGTCTATTCACTTAAAGTGTACTAAGTATATTTTAAGCTGTTCCATTTTAGTATTTAAAAGTATATTTAATACACTTAAAATTGTGCTTTTGTACAACTTAAATACAACTAAAGTATATTTAAAATTAAATTATTTGTTCCAAAACAGCACTCTTTAAGTATACTAATGATTAGTACAGCTTCAAGTACACTAAAATATACTTAGATTTAGTATACTGATATTTTTTCACCTGGGAAGGTTTTGTTGATGTGTTTTACTTCAACTGAGAGTTAAGTCCAGAGGAAATAAAGTCATGACAGAGTGTGATGATATAAGATTGTTTGAAGGAATTTCACAAGAATGAGTAGAAATCAACTAAAAGGCAGATGAGAGTCTGAATGGTTGAGTCTCAGATCCATGAGGGGGCAGCAGAGGTCCTGCTGGACTGTCAGACCCTCAGAGTTGGTTTTTGCCTGTCTGTGGTCAGAGAAGTCTTCTGACGTTCAGGAGAGAACGACTGGGACCAGTTTGAACATAAATGTGTACTAACCTGTGTCTCATGTAAACCAGAAGACCTGGTTCTGGTCCTGGTTCTGGTCCTGTCAGAACAGGTTTAGTTTTCAGAGATTAGAGAAGCTCTGAATGTTGTTGATGTTGAGCTGCAGCAGAGCACTTCACTCATCCCCTCTGTCTGATCACACACTGGGGGTGTCTGGGTTTCAGACTCATCCTGCTCATTTTACCCACCCTGAAGTACTGTGGGAGTGTGTGTGTGTACTTGTTTATGCTACAGAATTGGGACCATAATATGTTTTTAACCAGCAAACCGAGGACCTTTTCCCAGTCCTCTCTTTCTTTGCAGCTCTACTAGTTCGGTTTGGAGATGTGGTGTGAATTATGTCTGACTTCAGGTTAGGGTTAGACAAGTAATGGTTAGTTAGGCATAAATGAATGGAAGTTAAAACAAAGTCCTCAGTTACAATGATGTGTGTGTGTGTGTGTGCGTGTGTGTGTGTGTGTGTGTGTGTGT